GTGCATCCATGTGAGTGAACGTGAACGTTTCCTCGTTTCTTTCTTTTCCATTCATGGGTGTGTTTGAGCATGTAAATGTGAATGATTTTTCGATTGATTAAAGATCAAAAAATATTAAAATAAGAAAATGTCTTTTTATGCTTTTTTACTCCTATCCCTCGCCTAAGCTCGCTTAGCCCATAGCTTGGCCTCCATGCATCGCCACGCATTACACCTTTTAGAACACTTTTTTCTAGTTGTTTTCTCTCATCTATTTAAAATTTGAGGTAAGATTATCTTTCTTCTCTAACAGAAAAATTGGATAATGCAACAATAGCTAACGGAAGGATAATGTAGAACAAACTGCTAGAACGTGCAAAACAAGAAAATAAATATGCTGGATTTTCTCAATAGCTCATGGTCTTATTCTCTAACCCTACATGCTCTCATCCTTCACCTATCAATAAGGATAAACAACGTCTTCCAGTAAATGAATCTTACATATTTCCATCCAATAATTGAACCACACTGGACACAGAAAATGTCCGCAACTGTGTGCATTCCAGTCATCATCATCCTCTCTTCTTTTTCTCCGAAAGTGACATTCATTTTGTAAAGGAAATAAAAGCAATGTACAAAATATATAACTTTTTTGAAACATAAAATTTTCCCAATCTTCTTTTTCCCATTTTTTTTTCAACTTTCCATTAAACTCATCTTTTCTACACTTGCATGCATCCATGTGAGGGAACATGAACGTTTCCTCGTTTCTTTCTTTTCCATTCATGGGTGTGTTTGAGCGTGTAAATGAAAATGATTTCGAAGTCCAATTTTTCTTCTATTAAGAGTGTGCTTAAGCACTTGCAATCAGTACTGTGTCCAAATTTTCCTTGCATGCAGACTACAAACCATATTTCTCTACATTTTCTTGCATTGAGAGATTGGACAAACCAACCAGTATTTTCGAAGTTACAACGGTCATTTAACCATAATGTTTATAGTGAATGACGCGACAGGGTTTTGAAGCTTAAAATTGATTCTTATAACAACGGTAAAGAATCCATGTGAGAAACTAAAGACCACTATCTTGGTTGCATTGTTAATTTCATTGGGTACATATACGAGTCACCAGGAATTCTCTATTAGGAATATCTTTTTTTTTTTTTTAAGCTGTGAAAATGTCTTGTATGGAATATTAAACACTGCTATCAAAGCTATATACACTATGCTAAATAATTTGAATTTAGTGATCTAAGTAACAAATCCAATGCAATTTGAAGTCTTTGAAAGTGGATATATTGTAGAAACTTGTTAACAAATCTAACCAAGTAGTTATGGGCGCTAACACCATTAGTCAGAAGATAACGAGGTTATATGTCAAAAGATGAAGTAGCGGTCACAATGTAAGATGAACCCAATAAATTTGGCCGAAGAATGGAGAATTCATAATAATATGGAAAAAGAATACAAAGATATTGTATTTTCTATTTTGTCTAACTTATTAAGGTACATGTCAAACCCTCATAAGAGTCCTAATGATAAAAATAACTCATAAAAATGATGAAAAAAAGAAAACGATTTTAAAGATAAAAATATCATCAGATTTATAAGAGATAAATCTCTAATCATTCTCTTTTCATAAGAAAGTTTGAGTGATGGCAAGTTAAAGTGCCCAAATCTCTTTTGCCAAAGCCAAGTTTCATTAGCGTTACTTCTATAAGTATGTGAACTAAGACAAGAAGACCAATTTAGTGGAAAGCTATGATTTTNTTCAAGCAAACTAATCAAGATCTTTTCAATTATTCTTTAATCAAAAAAAATTTCTCCATGAAGCTTCATTTGGTTCACAACTTCTATGAGTTTTGAAGATTACTTCTTAACAGAATGTGCTTTAGTCATCTTCAACATCTCAAATTCTCTCCTCAACATTTGCAGTTTCACTATTCTAACTCTTTCTATGCCTTGAAAATGCCTTTTTTTTTTTAATTATAGTTGCAACAACAATTCTTGGAAAAATGTTCTCAAATACAGCAGAATGGATGAAAGAAAGAGCATTATAGTTTTTGGTAAACTCTTCTTTTTGCTGATTAACTTGTATTGTAGTTTGATCTTATTCCTCATTTGCAAGCTCAAAACGTTTTCTACTATTTCCCATAGATCATAAGCCATCAAGAAAGCTTTCATCTTTACTGCTAAAATTCATAACTTTCTCCAGTGAAAACAGGAGGTACAAACATGAGGTGTAGGCAAAAAAACACTTGTTGTTGCCATGAAAAATATTTTCTCGGATCCTTAAGATCATAAAAGCTCTAATACCATGTGAGTTTTTGAATAGAGAAAAGTTCTTCCGTTGGTACTACTGGAGAGAGAAAAACTCAGATACAAAAGTGCAGAGAATTATATGTTTCATTCAAAAGTTTTTCTTGATACATACATATACCCTTGGTCAGTTTTCAACCACTCTACCTACTACATAAGGCTTCACATTTTTTGCACCATATATTTTTCAAAAAGTACAAACAACTTTTTGCTTACATTAAGTCAAAACCATATATAACAAAAGGTCAGTACATCAATAAAAGTTACTGTCGAAGGAGATAATTGTTCTATTCACAGCACTCATCCACTACGCCTAGCGAGCATTCTTCAATTTATCAACGAAAATTCACTCCCATATTCTACACTCTCTCTTCAGCCACTGCATTGAAACATCCTCCATTCATATGATTTGGTTACATTTCTCTCTCCATTTTTGAATCCAAAATTATTCTTCTGGTTTCAATTATTTTGGAAATTAGAATGCAAAATTGTAATGTTGGGTGATTTTTCAATTTATTTTTCATAGTCCTTTATGTAAAAAAATATGCTAGAAGTCTATTTGAGGGGAAAAAATTGTTACTACGTAATAATTTAAGAAAAAGAAATTGTTACTACTTAATAATTTGAGGAATATTATTATTCTGGTTTCAATTATTTTGGAAATTGGAATGCAAACTTGTTTTCCTTCATTTTCTTAAGTTTTTTCTTTCACATGGGTCGAATAGAGGAAAAAAAGAAATTGTTACTACTTAATAATCGAACTTAAAAATATATCTCAATGGTCACTAAACTTCACCAAGTATTATTACTTCAGAAGTGAACTTAAAAATGTATCTCAATGGTCACTTTGCGTCATTTATTGAACTTAACGGATTTTTTCATTTGAGCGATAGATGGGTAACACGGTACATAATTCAGTGATTATTGGAATACATTTTTTAAGTTCAATTATGAAGTAGTAACACTTGGCGAAGTTTAGTGATCATTGAGATATATTTTTTAGTTCAGTAATTAAGTAATAGCATATGACAAAGTACATCAACCATTCATGTAATTAACACATGTTTTTCCTGCTTAATTACTGGTACAAAACAAATGCCATGTTTTGTCTTGTGGGGAAAAGATTTCAATTGCAGGAAAACAATAAAACGAGAACTCATTATTGTCTCAGAGATCAATTTTTACATATTTAGCTTGAACTATTCACTTAGATTGTGATTTGTATTTTACAAACAAAAAAGTGTACAAATGCTTATGATCCTTTTGGTGTTTCTATTTTGATTATATTAAAGTATTAACATAACTTACTATATATCCAAATTCAATAAGAGATTAGACCTTATTAGGGCGGTACAGGTGGTGGAGAACTAGAGCTTGTTCATATTGAGGATTTAATCGTAAAAGTTTGCCTTAGTGGACTGGCAGCAGAAGTGATGACATTTCGCGTAGCTCTAACACAAAAGTTAAGAGAAAAAACACCTACTATTGCAACTGTCCAGTTGATACACTAAAATAGCTTCATAAGAAAAATGAATATTATGAATGAGTAAATTCAAAAATTTTCATAGTATTTGTAAAGTTAAGAAGTAGTTCTTGGAGGATAGTAGCCGTGAGCTTGATTATTAAACTCCTGTACAATTAGTTCTTAAAAACTGTTTGAAAATAGATGTAAATTAATTCACAAAAAGAAGGGCCATTGCCTTGAATAAATGACTTTCTTTTTGCATTGTACCCATATGTGGATTGGTTTAATATCAGCTTTTTTACTATATGCAAGAAGAGAAAGTCGAACACAACACAATTATACAAGATAATTGACAAACATCTTATTTTCTTTTCTTTGATCATGTCTAGTTCAACTTACCAAACATATGATATCTATACTTGCAACACAAGACTAATTTTTATTCATTTATCTTTTTCAATATTACTGAGTCAAGCATTTTATAATGGCCAGGGAAATCAATGAGCATTACAGTTTCAAAAAGTTATTCATACAAAAAATATTCAGTTATAGAGTTCCTTCACTTTAAGCTCTTTTTCCCCACTATTCTTCCATTTGACTTTATTTAAGAGTTTATATTGCACTGCCTCCATCTCAATTTTGTGAGTATGGCGAGCTTCCCATTAGATGAGAGGGATTGGCTCATTGACCAAGGGCCTGCCCATCACGAGCTGAGCTAGGCTTGCCATTGAGCTTTTCAATTTTTCTTTTTCCTCTTAGCCAAATTTTAAAGAAACTATAGAAAATCAAATATGTGATAAGAAAAAGTAAGGTAATCAAATATGGAAAATAAAATGGGCTCTCAAACCCCACGAGCTTTAATTGCCAAGCTCAATTTTGCTTGACCCTTAGGCACATGTGGGTTAAGTCGGGATGAGCTCAACAACTAAAGCTTTTGGATTTCAAGAGCAAATCTTATTTTTCGTATTTAATGACATCCATGGATTGGGCTCTCACGAGCTGGCATGTCGAGCCGACAAGTTGTTTGAACTCATTTCTACCCTTATTATGAATGACAAACTAATGAATTCTTAAATGATTTTAGTAATTAAACTAAATTATGATTTATGCATTTATATTTTCCATTTCTATAGGAAAATAATTTTTGACTATTAGTACGAGCTTCGATAGACGTATCTCTATGGACAATGTTGAAACATGACACACTTATATCAACCAATAGTTACCCAACATAAGCAATACTCGTGTCCCCCCAAGTCAATATCCAAGGAACTCACCACAAACAATGTTCAGTAAAACAAATGAATCTCTAATTTGACCGCGTAGCCTACCAAAGAGGCAAAGTCCCAAATTATTTGCCATCCAACATAAAATGCCAAAATCCTAAGGGCAAAAAATCTTGCACAGGTAAAATATACAACTAAGAAAATTCCACGTATACTATTTCCAAACCACATTCATTCCCTTTAAATTACTTTACTTCCTCTACAAATCAAACCCGTTCAATTCTTTTCCTGAGCCATTCGTCTCTCTGAGTAATCAGCTCTATACGGGTATGTTTTGGAATTCGTAGAGTATTTTTCTAAATTTTATTTATAATTGTTATTATTGAAGTTAATTTTTGAAATTTTTTTGTTTAATCATAGAATTAATCTCGGTTCTGTTGCTGAATTGGTAAAGATTGATATTTAATGTCATTGAAACTCGAGATTTTCTGTGGGTTCGACTACTTGGAGATTATAAAATGATTACACAATTTAGTTTGATTTCATCGTAATGAAGTTAATTTATTTTAATTAATCGTTTAGTCGAGTTTTTGGCACAAGAATTAGTATCAGTTCTGTAGCTGAATTAGTAAAGCTTAATAATTTGACGTCATTGAAGCTCAACATTTTTCGTGGTTTCCACTAATTGGAGATAATTATGATAAATAAAGCATGTAATCGTCGTCGGTTATGCTTGATTCAGCGGTTGTCACAAGAATTAAGCTCGGTTCTTTGTTTATTTTTCTTGCTTTTGGGGGCCAAAACAGTAGAACAGGTAATATGAGATTAGCGGGAGAGGAAATCGACGTTGATTAATTTTTACATGGTTATTTTTTTTTTTTTTTCAAATTTTAAATTTTTTAAATTTTCCCTTTCTAATATTATAGTAAAAAGAATTACTAGATATTTATTTTTTATTATTAATGTTTTTGGGGTTGGGGAACTATGAGGAATTTCTGTATTTGTATTTTAAGGTGGAGATCCAATAATTGTGAACATTATTGTTGCATATTCAATACAATCATGTTTTTGTCACCCATTATTTGGAGAATGAAAGAGTTTTGAATAGTATTTTTTTCCGGAGAATGTGTGGTTAAAAAGTAAGGAAACTTTATTGGTTTGTGTGTAGAATATTTTATTGTTTGAATGTATGGTGGAGAATAATAATATGCAATAATAATGTTCACAATTATTGGATCTCCACCTTGACCACAATTTCAATGTTTTGTTGGCCATAAGTTGCTTGATTAATATGAAAGATTCTGAAATATATATATTTTTTCTATCTTTCCATGCACCATAGATCATTGCTTTTTATATAGTTTTAGGGATGCATTGACATTCAAAAGTTTGTGGTTAATCAAATATCGTGTCTTTGTGCCTTTTCATTTTGCATTGACATTGGACCTCATAACAAATATGTCTGCAAAATATTGTGAAAGGTTTAATTAATGATCTTGTGATGTATGCCTTGAGTATTTTTATGGATTTCAAAAGTTTATGTTATGCAGAGGAATTTAAAATGGCTGCAACATCGGCATGTGTAGTGGGAAATGGTTTATCTATACACAGTACTCAAACAAGTTTGAGCAAGGAAATTTATGGAAAGCAGTTTCTCCAATCGACTCACCTTCCATCATTGAGTAAGACATCAAAAACAGTCACAGTGAGAGCATCAGTGGATCAAAGGCCAAATGAAGGAAGAAGAGCCTTTCTAAAATTGTTGCTTGGAAATGCTGGACTTGCCACTCCTGCATTACTAGGCAATGGAAAAGCGTTTGCTGATGAGCAAGGTGTTTCTAACTCAAGGATGTCTTATTCAAGGTTTTTGGAGTATCTGGATAAGGATCGGGTGACAAAAGTAGACTTGTTTGAAAATGGAACCATAGCAATAGTTGAGGCTATCTCTCCAGAGTTGGGTAACCGAATGCAGAGAGTTCGTGTACAACTCCCAGGACTCAACCAGGAGCTCCTTCAGAAGTTCAGAGAAAAGAATATTGACTTTGCTGCCCACAATGCTCAAGAGGACTCTGGCTCTCTTTTATTCAACTTGATTGGAAACTTGGCCTTCCCTCTTATCCTGATTGGGGGTCTTTTCCTTCTCTCAAGACGGTCCTCTGGAGGAATGGGTGGACCTGGGGGGCCAGGTTTTCCACTTGCCTTTGGTCAATCAAAGGCTAAGTTCCAGATGGAACCAAACACTGGTGTAACATTTGATGATGTAGCTGGAGTGGATGAAGCAAAGCAAGATTTTATGGAGGTTGTAGAGTTTCTGAAGAAGCCTGAGAGGTTTACTGCTGTGGGTGCACGAATCCCTAAGGGAGTTCTGCTTGTTGGTCCTCCAGGTACTGGAAAGACGTTGCTAGCCAAGGCAATTGCTGGGGAAGCAGGTGTTCCATTTTTCTCAATTTCAGGTTCCGAGTTTGTTGAGATGTTTGTTGGTGTTGGTGCCTCACGAGTCCGTGATCTTTTCAAGAAGGCCAAGGAGAATGCTCCTTGCATTGTATTTGTCGATGAAATTGATGCTGTTGGGCGTCAAAGAGGAACTGGAATTGGTGGTGGAAACGATGAAAGGGAACAGACTCTGAACCAGCTATTGACAGAAATGGATGGTTTTGAAGGGAACACTGGTATTATTGTAATTGCGGCAACCAACCGTGCGGATATTCTTGACTCTGCATTGTTGAGACCTGGAAGATTTGATAGACAGGTAAAGATACATTTTATGTCTGTCTCTAATTTTAATGTTCTCATACTGATGCACTTTTTAATCTTCGTACAGGTAACTGTTGATGTCCCGGATATTCGTGGAAGAACAGAGATCTTAAAGGTCCATGCTGGAAATAAGAAGTTTGATTCTGATGTATCTCTTGAAGTGATAGCCATGAGGACACCTGGTTTTAGTGGAGCAGATCTTGCTAATCTCTTAAATGAGGCTGCTATTCTGGCGGGTCGACGTGGAAAGTCTGCAATCTCATCTAAAGAAATTGATGATTCAATTGATAGGATAGTAGCTGGAATGGAAGGGACAGTTATGACAGATGGCAAAAGCAAAAGTCTCGTAGCATACCATGAAGTAGGCCATGCCATCTGCGGGTAAGTATTGTAAAAAGAAGTTCATCTATGGATTTTTTATTTTTTTATTTTTTTCTATATACATTAGCAATTTGGCATTTTTATCATCTTGCTTTTTAGATATAATAGTTAAATCTTGAATCAATCTTATGCTGTGGTTTTTGTCTCCTGTTGTTTGTGAATTGTGAGCTGTAAACTAAATTCTTTGGCTGTCTTAATATCACAAACCGGGCCACACCCCAGGCTCCTTATGTTACAGTTATTGCAAATCATGGCTTTCTCACACCTAGCAAACATCTTACTCGACCAAACCTTCATGCTTTTCGGCACAAGAGTTTGCTGGGCTGGGTACTTGAAAATTTTGCTATGATTATTGACTAAGCTCAAAAAAAAATTTATCTCCTGTCTTGGGTAAACACAGTCTGGGCTTAATGCATGTGGCAGCTTAGTATCTGAATTTTAAATAACACTCTACTGTTATGTTAGTAGAAGTATAAACGAGAAGTTAAACATGCTTTACTCGGGAATGCATGTGATCTTACTTAAAATATAACCATTTATACGTTATGCTTCCTTTAGCTACAACAAACTTGGCGCCAAATAAATTTGGGATAAGCTATAGGAAACCTTCTTGGTCATTCTGGTTTGTTCGTCCACATCTACTGAGAGATCTAAGGTAACTGTTATTAGAAACCACTACAGGCCAAGATAATTTTTAATCTACACCTCTCTCTCCTAATTTTCTATACCAAAGTCTTATCACTCTTACAAACGAGGGCCTCTCTAAATTGGTGCAAATTACGACCCAAGCAAATTCTTCCTTAGGACCCGGCATCCTAGTATCCTCATTTCTGCTATATACATTATATGAACATCTCTACCATTAACAGCTCAACACTCAGAGCCATAAAATATAGCTGATCTAATTAGTGTTCTTTATAATATGCCTTTTAACCCTAGCTAGTGTTCTGGAATAAAGCTCTTTTTCCCCCAATCATGTCTCTCTTAGTTGCTTATGATATGAAAGTTCAATTCATAGACTTTTAAGATATAGATTCTTGATTTCTTTCCAAAAGCAAGTTCTGCGTACTATATTCTTTGTTTTTAATATAATCAGGTTACAAAATCATCCAAGTTTTGCTTGTGTTGTCATGCAGAACGCTAACTCCAGGGCATGATCCTGTTCAAAAGGTCACTTTGGTACCACGTGGTCAGGCTCGTGGTTTGACCTGGTTCATTCCTGCAGATGACCCTACCTTGATATCCAAGCAGCAACTCTTTGCCAGAATTGTTGGTGGGCTAGGTGGAAGAGCTGCTGAAGAAATCATATTTGGTGAGCCTGAAGTGACTACAGGGGCAGCTGGTGATTTACAACAGATTACTGGTTTGGCCAGGCAGGTAAACATTCTATTTCTACTCCTCGTGGTCTAGGATTCTGGTATAACTTAATTTTTAACTTGATCGTTTTATTAAATGTTATGTTTCTTTGGTAGATGGTTGTCACTTTTGGCATGTCCGAATTAGGGCCATGGTCGCTCATGGACTCCTCGGGTCAAAGTGCTGATGTCATCATGAGAATGATGGCAAGGAATTCAATGTCAGAGAAACTTGCTGAAGATATTGATGTTGCCGTTAAGAGGATTTCAGATAGTGCATATGAGATCGCCTTGAGGCAAATCCGGAACAGCCGTGAAGCAATGGATAAGATAGTGGAGGTCCTTCTTGAGAAGGAAACAATGAGTGGAGATGAATTCCGAGCAATGCTTTCAGAATTTGTCGAGATTCCTGCTGAAAATTGCGTTAGTCCTACACCTTCTCCTGTAACTGTATAATAGCCTGAATAAATTGGGCAACCCCAGAGCAAATCCCAATTACAAATCCCAAATTGATCTGATGCTCTATATGATTTTTTTTACTTCTGATAGAGCAATTCCCACAGAGAGTTTTCTGTCCAAAGATTTAGATTTATAGCTTTGTATTTCATATGAATATTAGTGTAGTCAATGGAGTATCTTTTTTAAATTTTAGATGAGATAGTTCAATATAAGACAGCCGTGAAAATTATAAATGTGACATATATGGATAACTTGATGCTGGGATGGTGCATGAACACTGCATATTTTTTATGCTGGCGGCAAAATTCATGTTGTACAGTTTATGAAAGTCGATGGTGCAATATAAGGGGAAAAAAAAATTGAACACTTAATTGATTTACTGAGCTTGTGTTAGGCTTACGTTTATAAACAATGGTGTCTCATAGTCTTGCATGGTAACACTTTTTAAGCATTCTAAGATAAGGGTAGAGATGCCTCGAGCAATATGGGAGAATCGGAGAAAACATCTAAATGAACGATTTGAGGATAGTAATTAAATGCAGTATCACTAATATGCAAATTTTCTTTACCAATGAAATATATTATCATCAGTAAAAGATAATCACCAATGAAAATTTAAAAACTATTCTTGAAGTTGGTAAAAGTCACTCACACATTTAATCTTTGTCAATCGTCATTGACGGAAATCCTACCGGCGATTGATCAACTCAACATCATCGGAATGTTGTTGAATGTTGGTTGCAACACAAACATTCAGCGAAAAATGGTGAAAGAAAACGTGGAACAGAGACTTTGCAAAGGCAACACTACTAAAATATCGTCCCTACATTTTATAGTAGTGAATGATTTTGCAATTAAGAAATTTATTTATTTATTTATTTGTAAATGATTTTGCACTAATGTATGTTAAAAAAAAGTGGCAATGGAGAACAGAACGAAACCAAACAAACAAGAAGAGAATAAATTGTATTAACGAAGGCTTGAACACGAAATAAATCTCGTTGTTCTCAAACGTTATTTACCTCATTTCCATTGCATTTTAAGGATCTCCAGCAAATAGTTTGTAGGATTAAATAGGCCTTAATAAAGAACACCAAAAAACAAAAGTGTTTCTTCGAGGTTGGGAAAAAAAAAGATATGAATATGTGATAATTTCTCCTTTTGTGGATGAATAATTTGGGGAGAGAATTCAATATAATTTCTTGTACTTAAATCACCTATTATAGGCTTAGACAAGATCCCATGAAATAGTGCCAAACATGGGATGAAACGCCTCCAAGTTTAAACAAGCCTTAATGAAGAACACCAAAAAACAAAAGTGTTTCTTCAAGGTGGAAAAAACAAAAAGAAAAAAAAAAGGAGGGCTATGAATATGTGATAATTTCTCCTTTTGTGGATGAATAATTTGGGGAGAGAATTCAATATAATTTCTTGTACTCGAATCACCGATTATAGGCTTAGACAAGATCCCATGAAATAGTGTCAAACATGGGATGAAACGCCTCCAAGTTTGAATAAAAAAAGGTCAACAACTAACCTCAACGGTTAGATTTTATAATCATGCGACCGCATGGGCTTTAGCCATGCAGTTGCATTGTTATAGCACTGGCCCTTCTCAATTCTCTGAAGGGGCCAATGCGACCACAGGCCCAAAAGGCCTATGCGCAATCTATGGCACTCAAATTTATTTATTTATTTTTGTTTTCATTAATTCATCCAACCACGAGATTTTGAACAACAAATTTCTAATAATCCATCACTTGTTCAAAATCAATGTTAATCACATAATCTAATACCAACAATTATACGTAAGAACTAGATATCTTTTGATTTGAATCTATTCATAGTGTAAATCTCATAAAGTATTATCAGAATTTCAGGTAGCTAGAGTGCTTTGAACCAGTTATTCTTTGTGACAATGCCAATGAAATCACACGCGCAAGTGTTAAACTTTTGACAAGTTCCTCTAACTCGCTTAGTACTAATATGGTCTGGCACTAATCCTTTTTCATTGAACTTTTAAAGAAGGAAAACTCCAACTCTCTAATGAGGCGATACCTCCTTGAGATTTACATAGGTGAAGTTCTTCTAGTAACTTTGTTACTTTTAAAGATATTTGTACCATTACTGAACATCATTAAGAATTTTACTTTAACTCATCAATCCAACAGTAACAACCAACACTATTTTTCAAAGATAGAATTTAATAAATTTAATAGTTTTGAAATCCATCCACTTATCGAATAAGTTGTCATTACCTTTTGAACCTGAGTATACTACTTCAGTATACTTTTGTTAAGGTTGCTATCATTGGTGGATCTGTTTGAGGATTTGTTCTTTTTCATGTGAATCCTATTTGTTATATAGCAGGTACTAAGAAAAGCTTCAACACATAAATTAAAAGTAGTTCAGAATTTAACAACATAGCATTTATCATTTTAAAAAATGTTCTACTCTTTCTTTTTGCTAATCCATTTAGTTCCGGTGTTCTAAGTGCAGAAGGTTGATGTATTATTCCATTTTGCTCACAAAACATGTTAAATTCATTAGAAAAATATTCTCTACCTCCATCACTTTTTAAAGTCTTTAATTTTTTTTCCTAATTGATTTTCAACTTCAACCTTATATGTTTTAAAGGCACTAAAGGTTTCCTCATTTTTCTAATAAGTACACGAGTATACCTAAAATAATCATCAATAAAAGTAATAAAATATCTATTACCTTCTCTGGTTAGCATGTCATTTAATTCACATATGTCGGAGTGAACAAGTTCAAGCAATTTTGTTGATCTTACTATACTATGAAATGACTTTTTAATTATTTTTTATTTAAAACATATTTCACATTTTTCTAGGTTGTCAATATATGATTGAATTAATCCACATTTAATCATTCTTTTCATGACATTATCTCCTATATGTGCTAATCTATCGTGTCATAAATTAAATGAATCAGTAACATAAGCAAAAAACTTAATTTTATTTGAGTTATCCTCAAGAGTATATAGTTTGACAATTCTTTCGGTGGAATAGCCCTTTCCAGCAAAGTGCATGTTATGGGTTAGTACAAGTTTTCCAGATTCAAAAACAAATTTAATCACAGGTTTTTCCAAAAGAACTCCACTTGCTAAGTTTCTATTCATTTCTGATACATGCAAGACATTTGTCAAATTGATTTTCTTTTTCGAAGTGAAAATGAGTTTAACATTTCCTTTATCGATCATCTTTGATCTTCCTTCATTTTCTATTTGTATTTCTTGGTTGTCTTCAATGTCATGATAAGTTTTGAAGAAGAACTTATGATAACATACATGGATTATAGCACATGTATTGTACTACCAGCACGAAACTTTGCCTTGAATTGCATTGATTTCACTCACCGAATCTCATCAACGAAATTCACTTGTCCTTCCTTCTTTTGTTGTTTCCTATGCTTACAATCTCTAGCATAGTGTCCTAGTTTCCAACAAACATAGCAAGGTCCTTTGGATTTGCTTTCGAACTTCCCTTTATCCTTTCTAGGACCAAGAGGTTTCACCTTACTTTTGATTTTGCTAGAGTTATCCACATTGTCCACGGCATTGGTTTTCGAAGAGTCATCATAAGAATTTTCAATCTTATCTCTTGCCCTTGATTCTTCCTCTATACGAAGATGTTTTTATATCCTTTCCATGAACCGAGGAGTTTAGTAATAATTGCTCCCAATTGGAAAGTTTCAAAAAATTCGATTTTCATTGATTTAATTTTTTTACAACTATTTGTAATTCATATACTTGAGGAAATAATGGTATATTATCCAAAAATTTGAAATCGAAGTATTTGGATATTAAGAACTTTTTGGTACCTTCCTCTTTGATTTTATATTTGCTTTCAAGCGCATACCAAATCTCCTTTGCTGATGTAGTATTGGTGTGGAGATCATATACACGATCTGACGACACATTTAGGATATGGCCATGACATATTAATTTGTCCTCTTCCCGTTTCTTCCTTTCTGCACGAATTTCTTCGATGTCTTTGTCTGTTGCATCAAGAATTGGCTCCAATTTTGGATCAATCACATAGAATATCTTCAAGCCATTAGAAGGAATTTGAGTTTGTCTTGCCATCTTTTGAAATTTGCACCATCGAATCTTTCCAAGCGTACCAGGTCTTGATCCATCATTTTTAAAGTAGTAAGTGTATATTCCGTCTCCATCGTAGTAAGAATGATCAAGTAATGTTTGAGAATGTTTTAAAAAATGTGGTAATGGAGAACAGAACGAAACCAAACAAACAGGAAGAGAATAAATTATATCAACGAAGGCTTGAACACAAAATAAATCCCAGAGTCCTCAGACATTATTTGCCTCCTTTCCAATGATTTTTAAGGATCTCCTGCAAATAGTTTATAGGATTAAACAAAGATTAATGAAGAAGACCAAAAAACAAAAGTGTTTATTCAAAGTTAACAAGTGAAAAAAAGAATATTGGCTATGAATATGTGATAATTTCTCCTTTCATCGATGAATAATTTGGGGATAGAATTCAATATAATTTCTTGTACTTCGATCACCTATTTATAGGCTTAGAAAAAATCCCACGAAATAGTGCCAAACATAGGATGAAAAGCCACCAAATTTGAATAAAAAAGGGTTAAAAAATAACCTCAACAATCGGATTTCATAACCATGGCGGTCGCATAGTTATAGCACTTGGCCCTTCCCAATTTTCTAACCGCATAGGCGATTTTATGGCACTCAAAATTTTTTGCTTTTTCTTTAATTCCTCCAACCACGAGATTTTGAACAACAAAATTTCTAACAATGTATTGCATAAATTTACATTTATATTTGTGAAAATTTTGAATAAAATTTTTTCCGTTAGTTATAAGAAATTATTTTATATTACGAGGATGAAAAATGCAAAACATACGACTTCCCATCATGAGCCAGTTGACACGAGGAGGATTATTATATATTATGAGGATAGAAAAAGCAAAACATACAACTAAAATTACGAGTAAAGTAAACAAACGAGTCTAATGCTAGACCGATAACGAAATATAGAACATTCGGCACTAGATCTGATATGCTTTGCTTCATCGTACATGGACAAAGAGAGCTTCAGTTGATAGGGTCATAAAAGCTCCATTCATGCCCATTTATATTTCTAAGAGTCCATAATTCTACTCAGGATGATGGAGGCTACTTTCAGGATATTGGTTGTGGCAATTTCTCCATTTAAGTGTCCTCATTGTCTTCATATTGATAATCTATAATATGTTAAATATAACAATGAGAATCATTCTTTGAACAATTTTAATCATACTACAATTCATTTTTTTCTATAATACCATACTTTTCAATTTTCAATATGTAATAAATGCTACAAAATATCCTTATCATGTATTAATTTCATGTTATTAATTCTCAATTAATTAACATTCACATTAATCTAGATTCAAGGAATCTTGATTCGATGAATCTTGACCTAATAAATCTAGAGTTGTTAAAGATTAATTTATTTCTATTCATGTATCTAGAAATTTTAATATGCATTTAAATTCATGTATTAACAATTCATTCTTATGTATCAAATGTAGTATAAAAAGGCTACTCATTTGTAGTATTTCATTGTCACAAAAAACTTAAATCATAGAAGTTGGGTTTTGAGATTACAATTTTCTTCTCTTAAATTTCTATCCTAACTTTTTCTTTAGTTCGTTTGAAACTCATTAAATTCTCCTAACAAATTGGTATCAAATATTATTTTTATAGTATTTATAAAGTATTTCTGAGTAACATGCAATGCACGTTCAACTTTGACTAGTATAGACCAAAAATCGTAAAATATCTTATAAGAAAAATTAAGCACTCCTAATAATGATTTTATAAGCATTGAGCTAAATAATTTAAATTAAGTGTTCTTAGTAACCACAAAAACCTTTCTTTTGGATATAAAAATAAATAAATAGTCTTTTTGAAACGGAAATTCAGGCAATATTTCATGACTGCCTAAGATTTTCACTTTAAGATTATGCAGACTTTAAGCTATTTTTATTTTCTTAAGAAAATCTTTGCATTCTACTAGAAAATGGGAGAGTATTGTTGGACACTGAAATCTCCAAAAGCAAATTATTTCTTTTGGATTATTAAAAGAATGACGCCTTCTTTTGAGAAAAAGAGTTCCACAATTTCCACACAAAAAAAAAGGAAAAATCTTAGTATTCAATGAAATAATTTTTCCAGTTTCACAGTCAAGCATAGTTTGTTTTAATTTTGGAAAAAGTGAAGATCGTAATGGTTTGATGGGCACCACTCCCTTGAGATAAAACCCGACCAACATGTTAACCATAAATTACCTTATACACTTATCTTGCCTAAGCTTTCATTATGTGTATATATATATATATATATTATGCTCTTGTAGCTTTCAAATCTCAAATAACTACTGATCCAAATAAAATATTGGCAAAAAATTGGTCACAAGGAACCTTGTTCTGCAATTGGATTGGTATTAATTGTGGCAGGAGACATCAAAGAGCTATATATGGACTTAAATCTAGCAGATATGGGTCTAGGAGGTACTATTGCTAAACAAATTGATGAACTCTCTTTTTTGGGATCCTTAATTATTAGCAATAATAATTTTCATGGGTTTATCCCTAATGAGATTGGTAAGCTCAGCCAGTTTCAAGAAATAGAGATGCAGTACAATGAGCCAACTGGTTCTATTCTACCAACTTTTGAATTTCTTGAAAATCTATTGACTATAAATATCTCCAATAGTGGACTCACCAGAAATATTCCTAACAAGATTTTCAACCTCACTTCTCTTATTGAAATGAGTTTTTGGAACAAGTCTCTCAGGAAGTCTACCTATGGATATTTGCTTCAATCTTACAAAGCTAGAGACGCTAAGAATTTCAGTGAATCAAATGTGTGGCAACATTCCTCCAAGCTTGGGAGCTTGCATGAATCTTAAACTACTTTCTCTGTCGTCCAATAATGTTGCCGGAAGCATTCCATTGGAAATCGGGAAGTTGTCAAAGGTTCATGTTCTCTATCTCGGATGAAATAATTTGAAAAGTAAGTTTAAAGCATTGTTCATATGCACATCTCCCACTTCACTAGATAAAGTATTCCAAAAATTTAGACAGTTGACAATAACTGTTGTCATGCCCATGGAGTATGTCTTTTTGAAAAATGAGTTCCATCAAGCATAGCATTTTCCAATAAATATTAGAAATACATCATGATGACATCAAATCCAACATACCTAATCAACTTTTATTTGAGATGGATACTGCCGTCTCAAATAAACACTTAGGCATTTTACACTGTTTTTCACAAACGTTATTCAAAATGCATGCCATCTTCCAAACATTTATTAGAAATACATCATGCAACAGTAACTCCATGGGTACTTAATAATCGAATTCAAATTAGTAGGTACTTCTTCTCTTTCATTAGATCTATTTTGTGTTAATTTAACATTTGATATTTTAAAATCTATATGTTTAAATGGATTTACAGGAAATTGGAAACCTATCAGCAATTGAATATCTAGATTTGGGGTCCAACAATTTGAGTGGTATGTAACTACATCTCTTAAACTTATATATATTACATCAAGTGTTTTAAAAATCAGAAAGCGTGACAAGATGTCATGGCTAACCTTCTAGCTTTTACAAGCCTAAACGGGCCAGCATATAAAAGCTTAAAGTGTGGTTTGGTGGCAAGGCTCAACTTCATGCTTAGACGCTCTTTTACACTAATTAAATCTATTCAATTTGTTTATTTAATGTCTTCACAAAGATTTATACCAACATTCTAAATTTAAAATTTTCATATACAACAAAGATTTTTTATGCCAGTTGAAAATCTAAATGAACTTCAGGTTTCCACCTATGCATTTTACACTATTTTGGCAAATGTTTTTCAAAATGTGTGGTATTTTCCAAATAATAATTAGAAACATTGTATAATCACATCAAATCCCAAGTACCCAACATGCTTATACTTGCTAAACTTTTCAATATTAATAGAATTTATTTTTTTATTATTTTAATTTCTCAGTTTGAGGACCTAGAATGCATTATTAGTTATGAAAACTTTAAATTTAAAATGGTCACCTTTAACAAAGACTTTATGCTGATGGGAATTTAGATGAACTTTAGGCTATCTCTTAGTTGTTTTACAATATTTTGACAAATAATTTTCAGCATGTTTGACATTTTTCAAATAATTATTTGAAATATATTATGTGACAATAACTTCATAGTTAATCATCAACTTCAAATTAGTTGGTACTCCCCCTCATCCATAAAATCTATTTTGTGTTAATTTAACATTTGTTGAACTTTAGGTTTCCACCTATGCATTTTAAAGTCTTTTGACAAATTGTTTTCGAAATATATGGTATTTTTCATGTAACTAGTTAATGTTGAACGTGCATTGCACGTTATTATAAAATGTTCTATAAGTGTTATAAAAGTTATATTAAATATGAGTAAATATTAATTAATTTAGAATTAATATTAGGGAATATATACGTGACAATGAATTTTAAATCATTTATTTAATTTCCAATAAGTAGAATTGGATGTTAGTTAGCATACATGGGCGTGAATAATGAAATGCATTCTTGAATGTGAAATTCTAATTGACTTATAATTAAAATTAGTAACACTAAAAATGCATAAATGAAGATAAATATTAATTAAATGAGTGTTAATGTTAATTAATTGAGAATAAATAACAGAAAATTTATACATTAATGAAAGCACACCGGTTAAATAAATCTGTCAAATGTACATATACATTAATGGTAACAAATGGTTGAATAAATTAAATATATATTGAAAAATGAAAAGTTGGTATTATTGAAATAATTGAATTATAATAGTGCTAGAATCGTCCAAAAAATTATTCTCACTTAAATTGATATTTAATAAATTATAGATTACTAAAAATACAACATAATCAAATTTTTAATAAAATTTTAAATATTAAATATTTAGTTGATATGAAATTTTAAATATTATACTGTTGATTTCAATTTTTAATATCCTAAAATATATTCAAAGAAAGCATTCCATATGAAATCGAAAACTCATTAGCACTTCAATATGTATCCTTGGGTTCTAATATCTTAACAGGTACCGATCTATAACTAATTAGTACTTTTGGTATTCATTATTTTACGTTGACAAACACAACAATACAGGTACAATTTCACATTCAATTGGCAGTTTATCAAATTTGAAGAAATTGGTCATTTTTGACAATAGAATTCAGGGTCAAATACCTGAATCCATCTTCAATCTCTCCATGTTAAGAAGACTTTCTTTTAGTGGCAATAGTATCTCCTGAAATCTTCCATCTTCAATTGCCAATGGTCTCCCTAATCTTGAACATCTTTTACTCGATGGCAATCAATTCAGTGGAGAAATTCCTACCTCTATTTCAAATTGTCAAAGCTTACTAAGTTGGATCTTGGTGGCAACTCCTTCAGCGGATAAGTGCCCATAAATCTAGGGAATTTACATAACCTACAGATTTTGTATTTTGGTTCTAATCAGTTGACAAAAGATCTTTCAATGCTCGAATTTGATTTTTCTTATTTCATTGCAAAATTGTAGGAAGTTGAAATTCATAGGGATGGGAAACAATCCTTTCCACGGAATATTACCAAAATCCTTAGGTAATTTGTCAACATCCGTTGAACATTTTGAAGCCGATCATTGTGGTATTAAAGGTATCATTCTGAATGAAATTGGTAATTTGAGCAACTTGATCAAGTTAGACATTGGAAGCAATGAATTGACCGAGATAATTCCTAACACATTGGGTCAATTAAGAAAATTGCAAAGGCTGACACTCGGTGTCAATAAACTATGGGAGGTAGTATCCGTCAATCTTTGCGATGTGGTACATATGTATTATCTTGATTTGGGAATTAATTAGCTTTCTCAACAGTGGCCAAAGTGCTTAGGAAACCTGACATCTTTACAAGCAATTTATTTAGCTTACAACTCAATGACTTCCACTATCCCATCCACACTATGGAATAACAAGGAAATTCAGATTTTAAGTTTAGCTCATAATTTGTTGAATGGATCGTTGGCACCAAAAATTGGCAACATTAAGAGCATAAGAAGGTTATATCTATCGGGAAATCGATTCTCAAGTGATATTCCAAGCACTATAGGACAACTTCAGAATTTGGAAAATCTAACCTTATCAAACAATTGATTACATGGTCCAATACCTGAATCATTTGGTAACGTGATTTCATTGAAAATATTAGATTTATCGAAGAACAAACTCAATGGTGTAATTCCCAGTTCAATGGAGAAACTTGAGTACCTCGAGTACTTCAATGTTTCATTCAATGAACTCATTGGTGAAATTCCAAATGAAGGGCCTTTTAAGAACTTCATGCCAGATATTTTCGTGGGCAATAGAGAATTGTGTGGAGCATCTCAATTTAAGGTCAAGACGTGCGAAGATAATACAACTAGAATATCAAACAAAACTAGAGTTTTGAAGTATATTTTACCATCAATTTTGATCATAATTATTCTGGCTATTACCGTGATTTATTTAATGAGATGCTACAACAGAAAAACACTTCTTCCAGCTCTAACTACTTCCCCCATCACCATCAAGAGGATATCATATTATGAAATTCTTGATGCTACAAAGAAATTTGGTGAAGAGAATTTGATTGGCAAAGGCAATGTTGGTTCAGTGTACAAGGGAGCATTTTCAAATGGAATGATTGTTGCAATTAAGGTGTTTAATTTAGATTTGGTAGAAGCAAACAACAGTTTTGATTCTGAGTGCCAAATACTATGCAACATTCGTCATAGAAATCTTGTCAAGGTAATTAGTAGTTGCTCTAACCTTGACCTTAAAGCTTTGGTATTGGAATATGTGCCTAATGGAAACCTTACCAAATGGCTATCTTCAAGCAACTATTCCCTAAACTTAGCTCAAAGATTGGAAATATTGATAGATGTCGCGTCTACGCAAGAGTATCTACATTATGGGCATCCCTCTCCAATTGTCCATTGTGATTTGAAGCCAAGCAACATACTTTTAGATAAAGATATGGCTGTCCATGTTGCAAGCTTTGGCATTGCCAAGTTTTTCACTAAAGACCAGAGAATTTCGATTACTAAAACGTTGGGCACCACTAGATATATGGCTCCAGGTAATTGGTTCATATCATCTACTTGTGTATCTTCGAATGCTAACACTGTAACCATGTATTACTTATTAGTTCTTATTTATTTATCCATCATTTAACATGTCACTAGCTAATTTGATCACAAGTTCCAATTTTGTAGAGTATGGATCAACTGGATTAGTATCAACTATGGCTGATGTTTATAGCTTTGGGATTATGCTGATGAAAACATTTACCAAGAAGAAGCCAACAGATGATATGTTTGTCGAAGAGTTCAAAATGAGAAAATGGGTGCTTGAATCATTCCCAAACGCAATAGCACAGATAGTGGGTGTCGATTTAGTGAATGCTGGTGAAGATAATATTCGAGCTAAGGAGAGCTACTTCACATTAATCATGGAACTAGCACTAGAATGCATGACTGATTTGCCCAAGGAGAGGCTCAGGGCTAAAGATGTTGTAACAAGGCTCAAAAAGATTAAAACTCAATTTTGTTAAAGCATAACCGAGGTGGAACAAGACAAAAAATTTTAGTTCTTAATGAGAATAGAAAAAAAAAATACTATTTAGTCAGAATCTATTTTCTATTTCACTATTAATCTCTAAAGCTTATGATAACATGAGCTAATGAAAATTGAAAAATACACGAAATTTTCAATCATAGTAAGAAAGGGAAGGAAACAAGATTATGGTTATTCATTTCTGGTAACCAAAACGATAAATCATTTTATGAAGTTCTAAAATCACTAAACAGTTTGCCGTGTAAATCATTTTTGTAAGTTGCCCTTTAAGTAACCAAAATTCAATCATTTTTTAAGTAATCACTTGACACTTTGCCAAGTCAATCGCCCCCATTTATAAATTTACACACACTTCACACACTTAACGTTCTCATGTACACACAACTACCCGATTCTTTTGCAATGATACTTTGCAATGGTTGTGAGGGTCGGATTGTCAAATCTGGAGCAGTTCGATCCATGTCCATATCATGGTGAAAGAGCATGTAGCTAGCTCCCATGGATTCGATACTCGGCGTCACCAAGGCCTTCCTCGCCGATCCTAGTCAAGATAAAGTCAATGTAGGAGTTGTGAGTATTCCATTAGCTTTCTCACAGAAATTCGGCAGAATTTTTTTACTTTTTTATTTTTTTTTTCCATTTTGGCTAGCAGGTGGTAGATCATTAGTGATTTAAGTTGAAATGGAAGTGCTTTTAGTTAATTAATCTTGTATTGGAACTCAAAATTGGAATTTTTTGTCTATTAGAAATATATCTTGGAATCTGATTCGCCGGTAACACGAACATACGAGTATTCTTTAGTTTTCAACTTATTTTTTATTTTGAAGACAAGAAATAAATCATTTTTATGTTGTTCATTTTTCTTTTTTCTACTATCTTACGGTTATTAATAAATGCCATATGTGAACACTTACACCGTACAAGGGAGTTAGTTTTGCTTATGCCTTTATACTTCTAGGAAATGAACTAGATTTTTACACTGTTGTTCTCCAGATTGTCCATTAGGCCTTCAATAATAAGATGGATCAAGAGCTAATAATTTGATTTCTCTTGATTTGGTGGACAAATATTCTTTATGCCTTTCATAGTAGTGTAGTAATAATTTGGAAATGTAGTATAAACAACACAAAAAGAAGTGAAAACAATAAATACTACACAAAAGCCATAGGGATCTTCCGTTCCTTGACGAAATATGCTCAGTTTTAACATAACAGAGTCATTTGTGCTACATTTTCACCAAAAAGAATATACAGAAGCGATGAAAACTTGTTTTACTCAATGAACATACTATACATTCGAACTTTCCAATTTACCCGAACAACATTTCACATGCTAACATATTTTTGGGGCGTCAAAAACCACAGACTATGGCCAAAACACTTGATCATAATATGAAGAGCCTTTTGTTTGCTACATACCCATTAACACCACAAGTACAATAGCGATAATCACGTCCCAGCAGGATGTGGAAAACTCATACTAGCTTGTCTCTGAACATGCTCAGGAATCAGCCGGTAGATCAACTCAAGTGATGCTCCAGACAACTGCAATCAGGAGAATTTGATGTTAAATAATCAATAACCGCATGCAGCACTCGTACACAAGTTGTTTTAGGCTTCGTTTAGTTTGAAGGTAATAAAGGGTTTCACATGTTCGCATCTGTCTCTCATTAACACATCAGCTGAAGACAGTCAATCTCAACAATTTTTCTAAAGCAAATTATAGCATAAAAATATCGAGGTCCTCCGTGAAAAGCAGGGTTTATAAATCCCTTTAAAGATCCAAAATCAAACAACTTTACTTTTATTCAGATTCAATTACATTACAAAATATTATGCAAATTCAAGAAAATTTCTTACAAGATTAGATAAACAGCTACAGATAGAACAGGTGAACATTACAGAAATGGGTAAATGTCAACTGAAGCTCCACAGAAGAGCAAGATTCATAAGAATTCTAGCTCAATTAGTCTTCATACAAATTATGTGAACTCAGAAACAAAATAAATGTTCCAGTTAAAATAGCTTTCAAGACAAGAGTAGCAGCAAATGGATCACTGGGTAACAGCTCAGTCATAAATGAAACATCTAAAGCTTACAGGCTCTACACAGAATTACTTATAGCAGAGAGGACATTTTCGCGAAGAGAACCATGCTCATCTGGTTCTTGGAGGAAAGCAGCATTAATTCTAGCTTACTTGTCTTTATCCTAGTTCTTCGAAATCAGGAGCACGAAAATTGATGTAGCTGAATTTTCTTATCAGGATAAGGATGGGAGCAAAACAGCAAAAAGTTTACATCTCAATCACAAATCAAAAATACAAAATTTTCAATCTTCAAAAGGAAAGTTTATGTTATTCTTTACAGATAAGATTTGTATGACAGAAAATTATACATACGACTGATGCTTAAATGAAGTAAAACATCAATTATTACCACTGCATTATAGCGACAACCAATACCTTCAATCAATAAGCACTACTAAACAACAAGAATTCTGTAGGCTTCCAACTAAATGATGCAATACTACAGAGATAAATTATTTATTTAGTTTCCTATTTTAATTCGTATTTCAGGAAACATGATTAGAGTTTGATTTAATTAACTTTTATGGCATTTCTTTATTTAGTTATGATTTTTGAAACCCTATATAAAGGGGATTATGGCAATGTAATAAAACAACCTTTGATTATTAAATAAATTGAATTTCTTCCCCTCTTCGTATCTCTTTTCTCCCTCCCTACTCTTCTTCTCCCCCCTTTCCCCTTCTCCTATAATTCTCCTATTACATCCAGCATCACTAAGTTTGTACTCTTCTCAGTTTCCCTACTTTCAATATTTTTCTCATTTATTATCCATATTTCTCTGTCGTCGAGCAGTAGTTGATCAAACCCAAATCTAGTTGTTTTCCTTTCTTCTTTTGAGGAATGTACAATGCATTATTAGCCCGTCCCAATGAAGCAAGGACATGGAGAGACACGGATGACAATGAAGACACGTGATTAATCAAAAAAAGGGGACAGCAATATGCTGAGGACATGTTAATTTAAATTAGCTTAAAATTAAATTATTTTTTTATTATTCTTTCATTTTCCAATAAATAAAATACTCATTTTTGTGAATTATTATTTGTGGCTGTCATTTGGAAAAAGAATGGCGGTGTTGGTCCAAGTTATTGCAATCCAAACCATACTCGGAGTCTCAGACCTTTCCATCCTCATTTCTACCATCCAAAATCTTCCACACTCCGGTCAACAATCTCCTATCGGCACACTGGTTTTGCTACTACTAACCTCGAGAAATCATTGACATTCTACACCAAAATTACAGTGAGATTCACAGCAAGTTAAATTATTATCAGATTTCTCTGACTCGCTTCCAGTTGAGAAAGATTCAGGTTAGTTTAAATGTGTATTAATTTTTTTTTGTTTTCCCCGATTTTTCTTTTGTTCTGACAACTGCAGAATGGGCCTTTGACCATGTCTGGAAGGGCAATCAGTGTCAGACTAAAAACGGAAAGGAAAAAATGATACACTAGTATCCAACATGGGTCTGTGCACATCGGCATCCAACCAAGTCTGATACCGACACTTTGGTCTCTTAGTGTATCTGTGCTTCATAGGTCTGCCAAAAGACCTAACAGCACATGAGCAGACGGTTTTATGTATATCATAGAATCAACATTCAAGTACCCCTAAATAATAACAAGAATATGACCTGCAAAATTCTAGGGATTACCATACTTGAGGGCACTAACTAGATCCTCTCCATCCCTACCCCCCTCATGTAAGTTGAGGAGCAAGAAAGTTTCTTCAGTTCTATGCAAAGAGCTGGGTCTAAAATCGAGGATGAGCCCAAGTATAGGAGCACAGTTAAAATCATATAAAACAGGTTCAGCTGTTAGGTTCAAGGGTTTGCCAAAATTTAAGCCATGGCACATTTGCTAGGTTTGACTGATATTAGTAGAGTAAGCAGAGACAACAGTGGACTTCGAGATTCATGAACCTAAAGATTTCTTTACAGACTAAGAAGGGGGCCTCCAGCTCCACTTGATGGAAGAAAACCATGAAAGTACTAACATTATTACATAAGGAAGCACATGAAGAAAAAGGTATTTAGAAACCATACCTCCTGTTTAAAGTTAAAAAGAGGGGGAAAAGGGCGACCATTTGGGAGGCGGGTATTGGGTTTCCGAAGCTCGTCAAAGAAAGGATGCGCACATGCTTCTAGCTGCAGACATAGAAACATCAATTTTATAAATTTGGTAACACATGGATAAGCATCAAAAATCATATTGTGCCCTGTCAACATTTCTAGTTGGACTGTAAATTGGATTTCTTCTGGGAATGGATGTTCTTTGGTACGAACATGAAGCATCTTCGTCGAGTGGGAGGTCAAATATAAAGTCCTCATCAGTTAATGTCAGAACTTTAGAAGAGATATACAAGATTAGACATACCGCAGTGCAGCGAAGACTTGGTGAATACTGAAGTAACCGTGAGGCAAGATCAATGGCTTCAGGAGGCATCTGCTTATGGAAAACCTGAACCAAACATTTCAGCCTCATTCACTTGTGCATTGAAATATTATGGTACCTCTAAATAGCATTTAGCAAGTGTAGGCATACCTTGTGCCATGGATGCGCTTTAATTTGGGGAAACCTGAAATCATTATAGCTTGGATTCATACATCGAATTTCTTCTCGAGTTGGTGTACCAAGAACCTATTAGAGAAAGTCTTCCGATTAGTATACATGAAGAGATCATTACAAGTATAGCAATCTGATCCGTAGAATCATAGAATTAGAAAGGATGGCACACCTTGATAATCTCTACAAGCTGACCAACTGCATTTTCTCCAGGAAACAGTGGCTGTAAAAATTAAAGAAAAGGAAATTATTAAGTAAGAGAACATGATATAATAAAATACCACTCGGCAAAATGAAAGAAAAATATTGAGGTTACAGACCTGCCCTAAAAGCAGCTCAGCTAAGACACAACCGGCAGACCAAATATCAATTGCTGTCGTATATTCTGTTGCACCAAAGATGAGTTCTGGGGCTCGATAGTATCGAGAGCAAATGTAGGATATATTAGCTTCACCAGGCACCTGCTTATAAAAAAATTTCAGGTAACATACAGTGAATCAAAATACTAACTGAAGCAGGGGTCTTGTGATCTACATGAAGAGATGTTAATAAACAAAACGGCATTTCAAAACTACAAGAACACTAATTAGAAAAACTTTGGGCTTTGATGACAATGATGGTCAATAATTAAGCCAATTGACTACCATGAAGAATAGATCAAATATTAAGCCTATAGCCTTGTTTTGGCAGCAAATGAAAACAGCTAAACAGCCCTGTAATCCCATGGAAATCAATTTGTTCCTATTGCACTAGAGTGCACCGCTATTATTGAACCTTACCATTAAAAACTATGGCACGTCTTCTTAAGTGGAGGAAGCACAGAATCAGTCAGCAGAAATCACATGGATACGTTAATTTCCATAAATTTATTTTCACTTATGGTTTCTCTCCTTCACCAAACTTTATCTGTCTTCAACGGTGATAGGATTTTAAGTTCTTTTCAGTAAAAGCTTATGCAACCTAACAACATAGGAAAGACATTGTGCAGAGTTTTTCTAGACTAGATTTTATGATAAGTTCTCAATCCATCTGGTAGTGCATGCCAGCATAAGAAAATAATACAACTGGTATCTAACAGAAGGAAGGGAGAAAGAATGAGTAAAGACGTGATCGATATATGAGAATATACATAGACACACGTAACTATGGTAGAAGCATTTAAAAGATGCCTTGACAGAATTGATCTCAGGGAGCTTTCAACTGCCAATGGACTTAGAATAATTAAGAAATTTAGACAGCCCAATTTTCGAGACTTACGAGAACTTTAGCACTTCCAAAGTCACAAATCTTAACCTGGTGGGTAAGAGGATCAACCTGCAGAAAGCACAGAGCATTGTTTTAGCAAAATTGACCAAAATGTCCAATTCAATCTGGCAGAGTGCATGTGGAATTGGAAGAAGGAAGGGAGGCAAAGTTGAGTTTACTTACCAAAAGATTTTGAGGTTTTATATCCCTATGACAGACCCCTGCAACTGTATGGAGATATGCAAGCCCCCTAAATAACTGAAAATTGAGTGTAATTATCTTAGTTGAGATGAATTATTCAGAAGTTAGTGAGAAAAGACAAAACAAAATATTGTAACCTGATACGCGTAGAGTTTGACATAGATGAGCGGCATCCTTTGATTCGAATTGCTATAATGCTCTAAGATATTGTACATGTTCTCGGGGACAAAATCCATAACTAAATTAAGGAAAAGCTCATCTCTGCTTGATGTAGAAAAGAAACAGTGCTTCAAAGAAATTACATTGGGATGATCCATCAAGCGCATTAACTGCAGCTCACGATTTTTATACCGCCTATCCTGTAAAACCTTCTTTATAGCCACAGTCTCTTCAGTTTCCAAGCATTTTGCCTGGCAAGGAGTGACAACAACCGGTTAGTTCTGTGAACGAAGGTAAAATCATTCACATTGTAATAATGCCAGGAATGAACACCTGAAAAACTATTCCAAATGATCCTGTACCCACAACACGCTCTGCCATGAAACTAATTGTCTGCGGAAAAGCATCATAAGCAAACCTATTAGCTCTCATTAATCTCTCTGCTTAAATATCATGAAATTAAACATTATAGTGGAAGAGAACTCCAAATAATTGTTCCTGTATAATCATCTCAATTCTTGTAGAACTTTTGTAACACTCGATTGGCAGTCAATGAAACTGAACATATAAAGTTCAGATACCAACCCTTTTGGGCTCGCCATTTTTGCCTCCAATCATAGTAGAGATAATGTGACCAGCGGCTGGATCATTACCCTCAACTGCAGAAGCCGACATCTCCTGCAATGGGAAACAAGCAAAAGAATCAATGCATAAATAAAAATCATTTGAATATAACACAACCCAACTGGCAAACTAACACCAACATCACAGAAGTACTACCATATTAATCAGAACATATTGTCAACTAATGAATAGCAAAACATAGTCGGAAACGTGAAATTCGGAAACCTGAAAAGATTGAGAATTTAAAGAGATATGCTATGCTTAGATCGCAAAAAGAGAGAGAAAAGACAGATAACCAAGGCTGGCAAGAAATTATCGTAAGCCAACAAACTTGGAAATGAAAAAAGCTGTCTACTATAATTTGAAGCACAATTCACCTACAAAAAATAAAAACTAGCTTTAAATTCACCTAAAGTAACTAACAACAACAGTCGAAAATCAAATTAGGAAATAATCATAATAAAAAGTAAGAGTCAAAAAGAAGTTCAAAGATCTAAATATAATTGCAATTTAAGGTAGTCTATAAAAACGCATCCCATTAATTGGAAGCAGCAAAAAAATTAAAACATCTGAAAGAAAAGCAAAAAAAGTAAAAATAAGCTTCGAAAAAGATTAAAATTACTAAATAATTTCTGAAAGTTTTCATGAAATTGATGCATTACAGAAAATTCCAGAAAAGCAAGAGAGCAAAAAATAAATAAATAAATAAATAGGGAATTAACTACCACAGTCCCTATTCGCTCTCTCACTTGGTCACTCCCTCTAAGATCCAGGCGAAACAAATCTAAAAGCAGAAATACCTATGAGGCGGGACTAATTTTCAGATCGAGGGAATATTCTCGGAATATACTTCTGGCAACCATGGTGCAGTAACAAGCCAAAAACTTAAGCTTTTCAGCTAGATCGAAGTGAAAAAAGAGGAACCCAGCTAGAATTTCGTCTAAAAAAACACAGAATGCAGACAGGACAGGAGGAGAAAATCGATTATATAATTATGCATATAATCTAAATTACCTTGTCTGTTTCCATGGTTGCTACGGTGGAAAGATTCACAGCGGCGGAGGCAGCTGGAGGTGGTGGCAGAGCTTGGTCAACAACGTTATGGTATTGATGGTCGGCTGGTGGATTGTGCTGAAGTAGCTGAGGTCCCTGTGGCACCATGGCCGTGTGGTTTTGCGCTCTCTCTCTCTCTCACTCTCTCTCTCTCTCTCTCGCCTCTGTCTGTCTTTATATATTTTCCATTCTATTCCTCCTTTATTGTAATCTTAAATTAAACCCCAGTTTGACGAACATTTTTTGGAAACTCATATTTTTTCGAGCTCTTTTACGATGACACATTCACATAATAAACTATATTGGACATAAAATCAAATTTTTTTCTTCTTTTAAATTATATATTCTCCAAAAACTCATTATTTCGAAACTCAGTTTCCCCAAAAATCTCTTTTTAATTTTTGTTAAACAACAAAGACCAATGCACGTTTTCTCGACTTAATGTAGCATACTTTCAATCTCTAACGTAAGGTAAGATTCTTACGTTATGGAATTCATGAAGTAGACGTTGAAATTAAACGTGAGTTCCACATTATTTAAAGATGTAAGTTAAGTTGTTTTCCAAGTTTTGTGTTATTGTTTTAAATCCTGTAAAAGTTAGGTTTTGCTTGGTGTAAATAATTTTTGGACATCAAGGTATCCCATACTCATATGGGATAAAGCACGCTCAAATATTTTATTCGAGTGAACCCCACCCCATCCCATGTGAGTGTACAAAAAATTATGTACAAATAATATTATCCTACAATTTTTATGTCCATATTGAAAATTTTCGTGGACACCCAATTTTACATGGCCTGTCGACTGTCAACATTACTTATTGAGTAAAGTGTTGCGATCAATTTAAACTTACCACGCTTAATACGTTCAATTAAATGGATTTTTTGACTTTGCATTTAAAGAAATATATCATTTAATGTCATCTAATTGACGCTTAGACTAGTGCTAAGTATCACTGCAATTGAATAGCATTACTCATTTGATAAAATACTGTTTAGTTCTTTTATAATAAAATTACTATATTTTTTGTAACATATGTAACAAACTTTTTTGTGCGCATTCTACCGTTATCACTGGTTTTAAAATACTATCTTACACTTATAACATAGTGTGTTATGCCGCAATTATCGCTAGCCATAATATCACCAATTGTAACGCATTATATTGCATAGTCGTCATCGTCATCAACACCATCATTAATGGTTGCCCGTGTACAAACCACCACCCACTTGCTTGAAACCCTGATTCTGCCTTGCACCTCCATCTTTTGCTCCACCACCTCAACTTGCACCATCTCCTAATCGTCATCTACCATCGCGACCACACCACCACTACCCTCGTTTTCCCTAAAATCTTCTAACTTGAACCCCTTTAACACCAATCAACCATAGCTGCTACCAATCGACCACTAAATCACTTCATTACCATATCGTTAACGTCTTTATGCTCAACCCACCACCACATTCGACAGCAATCCACCACGGATTTAAAATGAGCAAAACAAAATCATGTTTAGCCACATTTTCAAAGTTAAATATTATAAGTCATTTACAAAAATATGAACAAAGAAAATAGGTAGAATAAACGGTCTTCGTCGATTCTCATCATTGTCGTTCACAACCATAAAAAATTCGATTTCAAGATCATCAGCCAACTACCACCACAACCTATGAGGTTACCCACGAAAAAATTCACATATATATTCAGTCGAGGCGAAGAAGATCCAACAAGAATTGGTGGTAGACATCGTGCTGGTGGGAGGTTGTTTAGAGGTAAGGGTGGTAGAGAAGTTAGTGAATCCTAAGTGGATAAAAAATTCAATATTTTGTACCAAGAGGGGGGAGCTAAGCTAGTAGTTTGTTATTAGAAAAAATGTCCAAGTTATCACTTTTTTAAATTAAAAATAAGTGATGTGAAAGAGGATGTTGAACCACTGCATAAGCTATTTATGCTAGTTGCATGGATTGTTGAGGGAATAAATTTTACATCGATTAAATATCGAAATATTGACCAACTTAAATAGATCTTGGGTCACTCCTCTTTATAAGGTTGACCTTATTAAAATGGACCCCCTAATTAAGATGAGTGGTCCAAGATCTATTTAAGTTGGTCGATATTTCGGTATTTAACCGATGTGGAATTTATTCCCTTAACATGCCCCCACAAGATGGTGGCTCTTTTTGAGCAGACCAATCTTAAAATCAATGTACTCATTTTTAAGATTTAATCGGATCGAACAACTCGTTGGAGCTTACTGAGCTCTGATACTATGTGGGGGTGTCAATGGTGTCAAGAGATGCAAAGTGTGCACACGGTTGCCAAGGAGAAGCATGATGTGGAGCATGTGGACGTGTTGCTGAAAGAGCCAATGAGGATTGGGTGTTGATAAGTCGATAAATAGGGCATCATTTGACAATGTGTCCTTAAGCACCACATCCTTAGCAATGTCCAAGATATGGACATGGTGGAGGACGAGTATTACGAGGAGCATTGGATTGTTTATTATGAACGGTGTTTGTGGAAGGGCGCCAAGAATGATTGTTGCGTTGATTGATTGGATTGGCGGTGGCCGAAAAGGGTGATGGTGGTGCATGTGATTGTTAGAGAGACGCTTCTTTGTTGATGAGTTTTTTATGAATTTCATCAAAGGAGATCGGCATTTCACGAGCATTAACTGCGTCAACAATTCCTTTGTATTCCTCGCCAAGGCCGTCTAGAATTTTATCGATGAGATCTTCTTCATCAACAGGTTTTCCAAGAAGAGCAAGTTTATCAGCTTGGTTCTTGATAAATTGCATACAATCGGAGATCGTCTTGAAGCCCTTGACACAGTTTTTCAATTGGTCCTTGATTTGTTTGATGTGACCACAGGATGGTTTGGCATAGGTATTAGCCAAGGTGGTCCATGCCTACTCAAAGGTGGTTTTGCGGGCAAGAAGAGGTTGGATGGGTAGTGAAACTGCACCAAGGAGTGCACTAAAGAGGAGACAATCTTGGCGCTTCCATGTTATGTAGGCTGGATTTGGAGCCGACTTACCATCAGCTGTGACTGTTGGTGTGGGACTGGGATGAGAACCATCGAGAAAGTCATAGACGTTATATCCTTCTAATAGACTTCGGATTTGGAGGCTCCACGTGATGTAGTTGGTGGTGGTCATTTTTGTGATGTTTGTTAAAATCAATGTCCAAAGTGTTATCACGTCAAACAATGTCATCCATGATATCAAGCTTAATATACCTATAGCAAAATTTTGAACTGTTTTTGATAGGCGGTGCCTATGAATACACTGTCCCATATTTAAATGGGTTGAGGATCTAAAATTACACTAATTGAGAGGTTAAGACGACTAATCCTAATTTTTCTTGATAATTTAAAGGTAGCAATGTTATGTGAATTTGATTAAATAGGCTAGTTCAACTAAGAAATTTGAGAACCATAATTGAAATTTGATCTAACTAATTAGTCCATTTTTGGCTCCATTTTTTAAACTAATTTTTCTTCAAAATCATTTTTAACTAGACGATTCATGAGATCCACAAACTTTATCTAAATTCAATAAATACATTTCATCAATTTTTATTAAATTTTACCAAAAATCTTTAGCAAATTTAATTTGTTTAGTTTCTGATTTCACCTTTTGACTATTTACTTTTAACATTTTTAGAATTAATATCTAAATTGCTATTTGACAACTTGTTCAAGTAATACTCCATTAAACATTGTGAAAATTTGGCAATATTTTAATTTCAATTTGAATTTTGATGTGGATTAATATATGACATGGAAATATACGAAAATTGGTAAATGAAATATAAATTATAATTTTTATTTCATTTACCAATTTTCGTATATTTCCATGTCATATATTAATCCACATCAAAATTCAAATTGAAATTAAAATATTGCCAAATTTTCACAATGTTTAATGGAGTATTACTTGAACAAGTTGTCAAATAGCAATTTAGATATTAATTCTAAAAATGTTAAAAGTAAATAGTCAAAAGGTGAAATCAGAAACTAAACAAATTAAATTTGCTAAAGATTTTTGGTAAAATTTAATAAAAATTGATGAAATGTATTTATTGAATTTAGATAAAGTTTGTGGATCTCATGAATCGTCTAGTTAAAAATGATTAAAAGCACTTGATCCGAGTGCAAAAGCCCACGTTGAGTCAAGAGATTGCCATAGTAATTGTTGTCGAACCGGTTTGGAGTCTGCACATCAAGCGGCGTCAAGTTGGTGTTGCCACCTGAGGCGGGGCACGTGCCTCGACGGTTGGCTGCGAAGGTCGGGTTTATGTTGGTTTCGTTGTAAATGCGGGTTCGGAAGGTTGAGCATTGCGCAAAGCCGAAGGTGTGGCCACCCGAGAGAGCCGTCATGTCACGTGCATTAAGGCCTTTCGCCGCGAACATCGAGATGAGAGTTGAGAGGCTTGAGAATGGAGAGGGGATTTGGCTATTTGCTGCACTTAAGCTTGCTGTTCTTGCATCCCTCCTGCCTAGTGGCACTGTCCATGTTGGTCCTCCAAGCTATATCATATATACATATCATTAGGGTTAATCTTTTGATTATCTAATTATGAAAATTGTATGCTAGAAGAGTTGTAATGGCTTAAGCATTTGAAACAGTTCAGATGTTACTATTTATGAAAATTGAACGTATGTCCATAAAAAATGAAGTTAGGGGTGGAAGTCAAGAGGCGTGTTCAAGTCTACATACCAAGCCGACCCCATCTTTTGCAGCGAGGGCTAGAATGTCTGCACAAGATACCGTTGCATTGCAGGCAGCTTCGACTTGAGTTTTGATGGTGTCTATCACTTCAAAACCTCGTACTGAATTTCGGTTTGGATTTGCGTTCTTTTCACCGGTGAATGTCGTAGTGTCGTCCAATAGTATGGATCCATCACACCCCTAGATTGTATGCACAAGAGACATATATGTAAATGTAAATAATAATTTTTTTCCATGGAAAACAAGAGAACATGCGCCGATATGCTTAGAATACCCGACCCTACTAAATAAGAGAGACATATGAGATATTTATTTATCCTGTCCAAACATATGTCACCCAACTTGTTACAAACACATCATTTTCTCATGGAAAACTATAGTGAATATATATACGCTTTCCAACAAAACCTAACATGAAATTAAATGACGTCTTACATTCACGAAGCAGTCGTGGAAGAACAATCGAAGGATCGAAGCACCAATCCTTAGTTCATTATTAATAGCTTCCATCTTTTGCGGCGAGGGCTAGAATGTCTGCACAAGATACCGTTGCATTGCAGGCAGCTTCGACTTGAGTTTTGATGGTGTCTATCACTTCAAAACCTCGTACTGAATTTCGGTTTGGATTTGCGTTCTTTTCACCGGTGAATGTCGTAGTGTCATCCAATAGTATGGATCCATCACACCCCTAGATTGTATGCACAAGAGGCATATATGTAAATGTAAATAATAATTTTTTTCCATGGAAAACAAGAGAACGTGTACTGATATGCTTAGTACACACGACCCTACTAAATAAGAGAGACATGAGATTTATTTATCCTGTCCAAACATGTCACCCAAGTTGTTACAAACACATCATTTTCTCATGGAAAACTATAGTGAATATACGCTTTCCAACAAAACCCAACATGAAATAAAATGACGTCTTACATTCACGAAGCAGTCGTGGAAGAACAATCGAAGGATCGAAGCACCAATCCTTAGTTCATTATTAATAGCTGTCCTCATTGCATTTCTAACAATTGTCAGCACATTAGGACATGTGGAAGCATAAAAAGTGGGAGAAAGCTGAGCATTTGCAAAGCCGAACACCAGTACAAAAAAAAATGGGATAACCCAAAAATTTCTATAGGAAGCCATTAAAGATGAATACAAGAAATGTTAAGCTAATTATATGATGAATATATGCATGTATTGAGTGAGTAAGTATAAATAGGCATGCAGTGTCGAGAAATAGTGTGTGTACATAATGCAAAATTCAAACTTTTCTGCTGTAAAACGCGTTTAGACGAAGAATTTTTGTAAAGGGGCTTTAACATAGAAACAAAAGATGATGAAAAAAGCCAAAAAAAAATGAGAGGTAGACATAAGAGTTGACTTTATGATCTTTAGAGTCATTGCATGCATGCAAGAAATGTACAAAAAAGATAATGATTTGTTGGGTTCATATTCAAAGTAGTGCCCACCAATTTGTTCCATATTTTCTGAAATTTGCTGTAAGTGGCTTACAGGAAATTGAAAGAAAAATATACTCTCTTTGATTTCGAAATCCTTATATACAACACAATCAAATCTGAACGATATAGAAGATGAACTTGGGTAATTGAGTTGACTATTTATCTAGTAGTAAAGTAAATTCGAGACACGAGAATTGGGCATTTGCATCATCGGTTCCCAATCTATTGTTTGAGCAATAAGTTGGTTTCTACTCCTTGAAAGAGCAAGTTCTCAATGTTTCAATATAAATGCATTGTCTATATCTAACGATGAAAACTATCCGAACCATTTACGAAGTATATTATGTTTTCCAACTTGAGCGTAGACAAAAAGTTTGAAATGATAGTTGTTTTGTGACATTCGTGTGACGATTTGATGAATATCTGAATGATTTTCATTTTTAGGACTAACAAATGGAATATTTAACTTTGAATCTTCATCATTTAGAAAGCCCCAAGCCCATTCTTCTGAATTTGCATTGGTCTTATTTCAAGTGGAAAGTCTCTTCAATAAATATATCTTTCTTTCTTTCTCTCTTCCATTTCTCATTTTATGAAGAGTCTATCTTTGATCCTAGTTTCAAAGAAATAAGTGGCTTACAGGAAATTGAAAGAAAAATATACTCTCTTTGATTTCGAAATCCTTATATACAACACAATCAAATCTGAACGAACAAAATATTGAATTGAATTGTAATGCTCTCTTCTTGGGAGTTTTTACCTTGTATATGTTCACGAGCTTATATTTTCGAATTTTATCTTGATTTAATAGAAAGGAGGAGAATAGTAAGAGACGGAAAATTTTTATCTTATCTATAATGACTTTTATCTCAAAATTATATGATTCTTTACGTCTCCAACAAGACCACCTAGGAAGGAAATGTGGTAAATGTCCGATACTCTACTGAAGAAACTCCTCTTTGTCTAATAGATAGTGTAGCTGGCATTTTTGTAACTACAATAAACATTTATAGATTCATTTGCACTTTTATAAAGATTGGAAACCAATTTAACATTGGATAGAGATTGGGGACCAATATTGCAATGTTCCCATGAACTGTATATACTTGTGATATTGACTAGTTCATCTGCGGGTTACATATATAAAATTAAGATACTTTGACAAGCCAATAATGTTAGATCATTATTCAACTATCCCACCGTCGAACTTCTTTGAATTTTTTGCAAAGAGGTTACAACTTGGTTGAAAATGAAAATTTGAATGTCTTTTCAATATTTTTCAATACGAATTTCTAAAAATATTTTGAGATATTTGCCAATTTTTATGCATTTATATCTTCTCATTTTTTTGTCAACCGTAAAATTTTATTAAACCGTATAGAGTTGTGAAAAATTAAACTTTGCAAAACCTCCATGGATTCTAATTAGACCGACATGACCTTATTTTTCAACATGTGAAGCCGATGGACCCAACACCTTTTTAATATCTTTTGTTTTTTTTGTTACATTTTCGAGAGTTTTGAGTTTAAATTTTGCGAGTAATGCTACTTGTATGTAAGTTTCAACAACAATCTTAGCTGCAAAATTGATTTTGAATGATACCTATTCAAGAGTCAGCTCTACATTTTCGTTTTCCTTTTTTTTTTTCTTTTTAATTCCTGGAAGACGGAGACTTTCTCCTATTTTTGTATTCAGAATTTCCAAAGAAATTCAAGAAAAATTGATTAAAATACATATTTTATTTAGAAAAGAAATCAGTTTCTCGATTTCAATTCAAACAACTGTCGTCTACCAGCTCTACACTAAATTTTTGACACATCGAAACATCAACAGCAAATGGAAAACAAGAGCCAATACGCCAGTATGTAAAGAATTTTTGGGAGACAACTCTTAACTCGTTCATTAGAGGAACCATTAAGTTAGAACGAGCATTTCAGATAATTATTAAGAAAACTATTGTACTTGATTAGGCATCGAAAGAATATACCTTCAATGATGCGTAACAATACATATTATTCGAACAAGGCATTAGCCTCGGTTGAGTAAAGCCCAAAACGGCATAACCAAATAATTGTTTAGCTAACGCGGTAATATTCATTCTATATACCCCAAAAAAAATGCAGTAATATTCTTCACTACAAAGCCTATTAGAAGGATCCAAGATCTGGTAATAATGGACGCCGAGCACTTCTGCGGTAAGTTAGCTTAAAAACACATACAGAAAATGAAGTCCTAGCCTTTAGGAGACAGCATAGCGTGAAAACTCGGGCTGGTACCCGGCTTTGAAGGCAGTTTGAGATGTTTCACCAAAGGTACAAGCGACTGCACGACGTCTGCCATTAGTGGCCGATAATCAGCCTCTGGTTATAAGCACATAGCAGCGGTTGCAGCAACTTTTATAACCTCCTTTATCAAGTATTGACTCTCGAGGACGGGGTCCATTATATCTATCACCGTTTCTCTATCCATGAGTCAGGGTAAGGCCTATCGATAGAGATCATTAAACTTATAGCGACATGACAACACTTTCCTCTTGAGGCCTCTTCATAGTGACAGGAACCCTACCAGCAAGCAACTCCAGGAGGACGACTCCATAATTGTGCACATCTGATTTGATGGTCAAAAGTCCAGTTAATGCATACCTGAAGAAAAATATTATTAAATTTGAGAAGTGCAAAGAATTTATCGTGTAAAAATACTAGCGAAAAGCCAATATTACTTTGAAAAGGAATTTTGGCTTACTCAGGTGCGACACATCCTTGGGTACCTAATACTCGAGTAGAAAGTTATGGAGGCAAAGTTATAATGCGCTTTGTCGTCCCTCCGAGGATCTTGTCCGCACGTCGTAAAGGGAGGTTTACAGGGAGGAGAACCACATTCTGAATGTCCGGCCGAAGTGTATATGAGCTGTGACTGCATCCGGATTTATCTGGGTGGAAAACCAGAGTGGAAGGCCGTCACTTTTCAGGATGAGTCAGGCAAAGCTTGGACACCTGAGTTATTAAAAAAAAAAAAGATTTGCTAATCCAAAGTTGGGAATTTTTGGCATGGAAATTTATATCCAAAAGGATGTTACTTCTTTTGAAATCTCTATGAATTAGTCGTGGACTAACATGTTCATGGAGATACGCCAAACCTTTCGCTGCCTCCAAAGCTACTCTGAGCCGAGAGCCCCAATCCAGCTTCAACGGAATTTTATTAGAATCTGAGTTTTAAAGGAAAATGTCATTTATAGGGGATCAATTAATTCAATACAGCAGATCTGAATAATCGGAAAATGTATGCAGTTTAACACCTTAAATGACTTATTACAGTTTTGCATGCCAGGATGGTTGAAAAATGCAATTCAGCATCAGATATGGGGGATCATTCCTAAGTACAGACAAAAATAATTTTACAAGACATAGAAGCACAAGAAAGTCGATGACATCCCAATGAAGAAATTCAAGATGAAAAAACTAATAGAAAGTTCAATGGAAGAAGGTGCTAAAAAACCTACAATAACCTGCAAAGCATTTACTTTGAATCATTCAAATACTATATATGCAAATAAGATTGTAAATGGCTGATCAAAGTGCCATATGCAAGATTATTTAAGTAATTGCAGCTTCAAACAAAATACATAAACAAACAAAACACATACCACTGATGGGATACAAAATGTTCCTGCAGACCACTAATTGCCATGAACTCATAAACCAGAAACTTATGGTTGCTTTCTGAACAGTAGCCAATAATCGAGAACAAATATGGCGGCCGCAAACGACCCAATAAATCCACCTATAATTTTTAATAAACTATTAACAATCAGTAAGAAAAATATAAGTAAGGTGAAAACTGAGAAACGTGTATGCACTCATATACAAACTTCCAAGAAATATAAACTCAACGAGGGAAACGTAGATAGAGACAGGACCTCCACTTCAAATTCTTCTTCTCCATGTTTTCCAGCCTGATTCATCAACTTAACAGCAACCTTCCTCCCATCTTTGAGAACTCATTGATAGACTAACCCAAATGCACCATGTCCAATCACATTAGACTTTCCAAAACCGCCGGTGGCCAATTGCAGCTTCTTGAAGGTGAAAACTTGAAGTCCCCTATCAGTTGCAACTTGAATATTTTCAAAATCTCCTTCTTTCTCCTTGTAATCAACCCCTTTCAAATGTAAGGCGATATAAGACATCAAAAATCAATAATAAGAAAAACGTTCAATAAATCCTCCATCTTCCAAAAAGGGCTACATCAAAAATGAAAAATCAGTTGCTTTGGCCCATAAAGAAGGATTATCAGAATAACAGGTCCGATTTTTTACTTCATTGATCACTTACCACTTTTTCAATGTATGTTAGGCAAGGTGCTTATAAATCAGGATAGATGAGTGGTGAAGAAGTGAATAGTACTTGTGAGTCCTCTGAAATGTGTATACAAAAGTGGTTTGACATTTGGCAAATGTTTATATGAAGTGTCTAAATAAAAGTGGTTTCATATTTGGCAAGTGTTTAAAACATGTAGTCGCCATCAGGAGCACAATCATTAAAATTTCCCACTTTCACACGGCACGATGAAGGTCTATCATCCATGGTACCCAAATCACAACGAAAGAGAAAAAGAAAATGAAGAGATTTACTTAAAATATCAATATTTATGTCTTCATATATTCAGGAAGATGAAGACAAAAACTCAAAAGTGGTAGTCACACAAGAAATAGCAGAGAAAGACGATGATGTTGAATGTTGAAGTTTCTGAAGCACCGGTTGAACAAGATGAAGGATAAGAAGATGAAGTTTCTACAACATTAGACAAAAAATTTGTTAGGGACCCAAAAGTGAAGAAAATCCAAAATATGAAAAAACTAAAGAACATGAAGCGTCTTGATAACAAGATCATAGACAAGAGAAACAAGAAATCTATAAAGAGGGCAACAATGGACAGTGTATCCACTAGAGCACTCTTCATGCTCTTCAATTTTTTCATATTCTGAATTTTCTTTACTTTTGGGCTCCTAATAGATTCTTTGTCTAATGCTGAAAAAATTTCATTTTCTTATTATTCATCGTGTTCAACTAGTGCTTCAAAAACTTCAACATTATAGTATTTTTCTGTTATTTCTTGTCCGACTGCCACGTTCGGATTCATATCTTCATCTTCTTCAACATGTGAAGACATTGATACTGATTTTTTTGGACAAATCTCTTAATTTTCTTTCTCTTTCGATGCGATTTGGGTGCCATAGATGATAGACTTATTCATCCACTTAAGCTCAGTAAAATGCATCTCAACATTTTACCATATTACAGCAAATCCTCCATTTTCCTGAAAGACCTAAATTCAAAAACACAAAATATTAAGTGGCATTAACCCTTAATAAGCCTAAACAAGCCCGAAATGAGGGAAAATCAAAGTGAGCTGCTATTTGCATTCAGAATTATTATATATCTATCACACTCAATATCTATCCCTATTAAAATTTTTAAATTAAAAAAATATATATATATATATTGTGCTCATCCATATTACATTATAATATTGTCCTTATTAAATTTATTCATTTAAACATTATACATCCATACCACTTTTATATATACATCCACGTCAATATGTGAATTGAATTGCTTCCTTCCTCCAATATTAAGTGGCATTAACCCTTAATAAGCCTAAACAAGCCCGAAATGAGGGAAAATCAAAGTGAGCTGCTATTTGCATTCACAATTATTATATATCTATCCCACTCTATATCTATCCCTATTAATTGAATTGCTTCCCCCCCCCCCCCCCCCCCCCCC